CTCAGCCCACTCGCATCCCCTTTTTTCACCGCCAACCAGTTCTGTCTGACACGGTCAAACCGGCGAGGCAATTTCTTTCTAAGCCCACTCGCATCCCCTTTTTCATCGGCAACCAAACTTCAACACAATTAATCGGAAAATGTGACTTTAAAACTGCCCACAATTAAAGGAAGCCTTAATTTCTTGAAATTGGGGACTCTGTAAATAATTCGGAACATTGTTTTGCAAGAAAAATCCCATATAGATTCCATAAATAAGGTCTTTGGAATGAATAGAAACTGAATATCAGGAGTTGTACAATAGGGAAAACCATGTGATGAATGAGAGCTTGAGATGTCAAAATGTAACAAATTTGACTGCCAGTTTCAGTCCTAGTCTTTTGTAATTACAGTCTCCAATCGTCATTGCAAGATCCTAATGGAATGATGTTCTTGTAGCTCTGTGAATAAAATAAGTCCTTGTTAATTCAGAACACTTTTACATTAAAGCTTATTTGATAAAATTTTGGACCCTTCATTGAAACCTTTGACTATACAAATACATAGTTGGGGGACGAATAACTGAGGCCCAGACAGCTTTATAGAATTTATGTCCCCAGCGGATTTCAAATATTTGGGTATGGCAGAAACAGACCCTTTAGACGGCCTTTTGCGGCTTTTAGATAATTGATACAAGAAAAATTTCACTTATATTCCAATCCACGAGACATGTGGGTTTGATTCTCTTTTTCCATGCAATGTACCGGTAGGCCTAGATAGACGGTTGTTTAAAAAGTCTGTTTTCTGGCGAATTTTTCTTTCTTTCTTAATTTAAATTAATTTCTTTCTTTGAATAGTAATTTTTGATAATAATTTATCACATGTACCACACACCAACACAAGAAACGTGTTTTGCAATTAATGAACAAAATTAATGCCTGGCACGATTGTATCATCGACCAGTCATCCAAGGCTAATTAGTGAATCCGTTCTTGTATCAGTATGATTATTGATGTTTGCTGTTAAACGGCTGCCAAAGAGAAAAGGGAAAGCAGTTTATACAGGAAAAGTGACCATGTCTTGAAAAGAGTATATATTATAAATCAATGCCACACCATGTACTATGGGGGCAATGTTCATGATAAACATTGTACATAAAATCGTCAAACTCAGAATAGCATATTAAAATCATTGTACAAATCAACTTTTTTGCTCATCACAAAAAGTTGTGGGATGATTCCACAGCTCATCATCCCACCACCAAAGGTGGGGAGATATATACATGTAACCTACCCCCTCAGGATTTGTGTAAATGAGAAAAATAAATTATTGGCAACAGTACTTTCCATCATTACTTCAGTCTAAGGCCCGCCCCCAGGAAACGCTGTGTCAATACTATGGAGGTGACTTTACAACATTCTGTGTTGACCGGTCACTGCTGCTATACCCATTTCACTTTGTTAACCAATCAACTGTGGCGATTACCTGACCGCAAATAACGTGGGCTGCTGCCCAAGGCAGCCTGCAACCCAACCCCCAGCTCTCGTTTTTTATGACAAAAACCGGAAAAGCCAGTATAAAGAGTAAGTTAGGACAGGATTAAGGTACCAACTTTTACGACAGTGTGCTGGTAATGCGGGGGTTGAAGGTAGATACGTGGTGAAGTTGCAATTTGAACCTTGTCCTAGTATACGTGCCAGAGGCCATGTATTCTTGCTCAATGCCTGCGGTGTCACTAAAATTAAACTTTGGCCTACAGGGAATCAAATAATAGAGTGTTGTGTTGCTATAGGTTGCATTGCCATGACAGCAATTATCATACACCACAAAGTGTGCGCCGTTGCACATGAATCAGCCACTCGTGTTATGACTTATTAATCAAGATAATAAAAGAAGCAAACGCAGCTCCAAACCGATTCTAGTCGTCACCGACACCATGAACTGACACCCAGCTGCAAGTGGGTGTCAGTTCGTGAAAACTGAGCTATCAACAATTTTGGTTTTACGAACCAACAGACCATCGGACACTGAAGCGAAATAGACCGATTTTTGTTTTCACGAACTGACACCCATGATGGTTACAGCAACACAATACATCCATGTGCTTGCTGGCTTACCCAAAATGGAGTGAAAATTATATCCTGGATCGTCTTGACAACGAAGCATGTTCCTACGCTTCGTTGACGCTAGGCCACTATTATACGGCATTCACTGGGAGCCCCTGTGTGAATAAGAATGATTGGCAATATACAAAAATGAAGGGGATTCAAAACGTGCGTGGCGGATATTCTGATCGACTTACACAACATATCGTCACAGTTTTTACGAAGAGACAAATTTCTCATCGGAGAGTAAAACATAGGTTTTAAGGAAATTGCATTTGTAAATTGTTTTTGAAACTTTTCATTTCCAAGTAGTTAGCATGCCTTTGACTTCACCAATGCTACTCCACGAAAGAGGAGATCTTACGACACAAAACTACAAATAATATTGATAAAAGTTAATTAAAATTGTTTATTTTGTAAACAAAGTTGGTCTGATCGTGAAATGTTAAATTTTGTGTGGCCTTTGGTCTCTTCGTGAAAATGGCACACATGTAGACACTTTTTCCATAGGGAGTGCCATAAGCAGGTGCAATATTGCTGCGTTTGTATAAATTTCTGGAGTCAATTTTTTCTCTTCGTGAAAACTCCAAAATGAGTCTTGCCCATGGTTTCGCTCTATTTTGCCAAAGTTATATCTATAGAAGACAAATTTGTCTTTTCGTGAATTAACAAAAATGCAATTTAGTTCAATTTTCTACACAGAGATCATCGTGATTTGGGTGATTTCAGCAGATATGGTAAGAACTGATTACATCAAGTTGTAGGCATTGCATAGCGTAATTGATATTGCAAGAAAAAAGAAACTTGAAACAAATCATGATTTGGGGCCAATTTGAAAACGGTCATGATATGACGAAATATCTACAATCTGTTCCTTCCAATCTTTGAAAGACTGCAGTCAATCACCATGCTTCATTTATTGACAAAAGTTAAATAAAACTGACCAGTTCAAAGATTTCTTCCCTTTAAACACCAAGGAAAGGGCCCAAAACAGCTAAAATCTGCGAATTCAATCAATGTCCTCTCTGGCAAAAAAACATATTTTACAAGGGCCCACATCAAACACCTTGCAATGATGCCCCTGCAACTAGGCTCTCAATAGCTGGATGGCATCGGTCTATCCATCGACGACTAACGTCACTGGGGAGATGTTTCTATTTATATTTTGCGTTGCCACGCTTGAGTTTGTAGGCCCACCTTATTCAATGATACCTGTAAACATGATTGACTTCATTTTGTGCAAATGAAGTCTTCAAAACAAGAAGGCTCAACAGAACATTGGCAAGTTGCTAAGGAATTCCGTATGGTTCACGAGGGTCCGGTCAAGTAACCGCTGCGCATGGTCGAAGTATTTAATTTCCACAGGTTTAATGGGAATGACCGGTAATTCACGGCACGTGATTGGCAGTTGTCCAATTACATTGTTCAGGATTCGGGAGAATAGCACCTTTCACTCCCCTCCGCCCACAAGTTAAAAATGGAAAAGAAAAGTCGCGGTATTAAAAAACAAGTTGGACTTTGATGACATCAGAGTAAAATACAAAAGAGTTTTCTACTATTGTCGCAAGGCAGTTAAAAATATCTATGCAAACAGTTTGTAGACATTGATCTGTTGTGCTGATGGTTCGTGACCAGTACCAGGAAACATGAGTTCAATAGACCGTATTTGCGGCTCCCCCCAATTTCAGTCGTATTTCCCAACGCAGTGTATTTATTTGAAAACGTTAAATTCAAAGAACCTGACTACATTTCATTCCAACTCCCAAATCACCTGGTACCACCTCATCACGGGTATTAAAGTGCGTTCAGGAACATGACTGAAATTTGTTTTTTTTCCTGGTGACAGTTGGCACACGACGTTTTCACAAAGTTGACGCAAGACGGAACCACTCAATCTGCAAACATACATATACTGTCCATCCGTCGTCGACTGATGCCCGACCTCCAAACACACAACTGATTCACGTTTGGACCACTTTTAAATCAAACGGGTACGTTTTTTTCCAGATACATTCAGGTGTCTTCTTAGGTATTTGTGATTTATTCAGTACTTATGAAAACTTTGATAGTCTTTGCAGTGTACAATTATGTAGCAGAGTGAACCTTGTTCATGGTCCGGTAGATCCTGTACACGCTGTAACCACTTTGTTGTATGTGGACGTGACTTAAGTCGCCCTTTCTTTTTTTTTCTTTTTTTACGTAATCGTGATTCTTGCCCCATCCAAAGATTCAGTCTTGTAGGGGAAGTCATCGGCTGGTAACGCGCGTTGATCTTCCAATGATGGATTAAATACGTTATCGTTTCAAATAACGAAAAACAAAACAAAAGGAAAACAACAGCGCCAGCGCCAGTCAATTATTATAGGAATTGTTTAAAGCAGTAGGAGACGCGTTAACATTGACAGAAATCCAAAGTCATCTCCACGGCTTTAGTGCGTTTGTTGCAGATTGGCCCACCTTGTGCAAACTTGTATTACTTACACCAGAACTTGTACTTACACCAGAATTCGTACAGCCATTCTGTGGGCTTGTTGGATTGGAACGTTCCTTAGGAAAAATATCAAACAAACAATTGCTGTGGGTCATGTGATAACAATGGAACTTACCAAACCCGCAATTCATTTTGTGAACGGTAGGCAGCCTGCAATGCAAGCCACATTCAGCGTTCCAAAGTCCTAGAATTGTGGAATTTATGGTAATAACTCTATTATACACCATGAATACCGAAACTTCTTTTTGTCTGTGGTAATACAATGTTTACCCTCAACCTACGCGATTATGAAGTGTTGTTATCCAGGGTGAGTGGAATTGGTCACACAGAGTGCTTTGCTTTCACAATACCAGACATTTCCTATTAACATGCCTGAGGCTAATGTTGGCTGAGCATAACTAGTTGGGGAGGAACATTCAGAGTGTTCTGTTTTCACGAGTTAAGACCAGTCCTGTAAAATATTCTATTTCAAAAATGCATGTAAAAATGAAATAATATGTCAGCGTTTAGAAATGCGTTGATTTCATTTTCAGTGCTTTCCCGTTGCTTATTGGATGTATTTCCAGTTATTTACATTTCTGTTGCTCAGTGCTATGCGTGGAATTGTAAACGTGCCTTCAGAATTGGCCTAAGGTGTCATTATTCATTCATCTCACATAGTGTGTTAAAAAGGTTTGTTCTTTCTTTTCAAAACTACGCAGTAAATGACACTTAACTTTGAGCAGTAAGTAGAGGTAGACGTTATGGGTCCTGTGATACAGAAAAATGGCTCCATACCACCGAACGCGTCGCGGCAGATGTCAACCCAAAAGTGAAACCACCTTTGTTGGAAAGACATTTGTGGACTTTTTTTTGGGGGGGGGGTTGCATAATAATGATTAGAAGACAGTAGTTAAGAAAAAACTTTGGAAAAAAGTTTGGAATATTTTTGCAGACATGATTTGGAGATTTTCAATCTTTTTTTCACTCTCTTGATCTTCTACTTATAATTCATAGTGCCCATTATTTTGTTTTTCTCTGATGAATTCCGAAGCTCATTGCGTTGTGTTGCGCTATATTCCATTTGACTTCGCCATTATGCACATACGGTAAAGTTTCTTTTTATTGATACGGAACCCTTCTGTATATATCACTGTGCGAAAGGTGTAGTTTCCGGGAATTTCATACCCACGGACACGGGTGCAGTGTTTGCAACCAGTCGTTTCCGCTGCCAGTTTACCAACACAGAAATGGGCTCCGGAAACGTGGAGACCAGTTTCCAGAGTTTCAGGCTAGAATTTACGTGACAAGGAAACTATACACGAGGAAACTGGCTAGTGATTCGTTGGAAACTGACCGATAAAGCGTTTGTGTAATCATGGCATGATAAAAGATAAACATCGCAGCGACAGCTTTTGTTTAATTAACACATTTACCTCCCATTTTATGACCCAACATTTGTCACATTAATTTAACTTCAAATTCCAACTCTGATCACGTATTCTTCAAAATCACAATACAGAATGAGTGCCCATTGAAAATAACTTGAACACCTTTTACTAAACATTTTTATCTCTGTCCTATCTGCGGTTATTCAGTCCATTCTCCATGTCCCTTGTTACCGTTAATTGTAAATCCAAACGAATGAAGAGTCTCGCCTTACCGTACACTGCCAACAGTTTGAGTTGATTTTTGAAATTTCGTTTTCTTTTTTTATGGAGGTCAATCTTTGTTTGCCAGCTAGTTGGCTACCCTTTTTGGCTTCTTTTTGAAGCAACCTATTCTTTCAACCGATCTGTTCCGTTCAAATATTTGATAACTGTTTTTGTTCAATAACGTATTAATGTTTTTGCCTTTCTTTATTTGTTTTAATTCCATGCCTCGCTAAAGGTTTATATTTTAATGATAGATGGATGGATGGATGGATGGATGGATGGATGGATGGATGGATGGATGGATGAATGGATGGATGGATGGATGGAATTAATTTTGTGCTGAAGTCTGCTGTAGACCTTTTATGACGGCGGGCACGTAACGATGCAATGTATTAAAAAAATGAGCAGACATTAATTTTGACCGTTTTTCTGCGAAATTTGAAATTAGCTATTTTCAACATAACGGCCACTCTTTTCTGTGAGGTACTCTTTTAATAGTTTCCCTGATGCCAAATTAGTTTGGAAAATTGACTTAACGAAAGTAGCATAACTCACTCAAAATAAGCATAAAATATAATGTGCACACTAAGAAGACCTCTTCCATCAAGTGAGTTGAAAATAAAATGTATCTCCGAAAGTATGAAGTGAGATTATTGTAGTAAAATGCCAAACCAACTTCCTAACCAAGGGAAAAGTTTTTATAACGGACTCATTGAAGCCGTTTTTCTGTCCAAATAAAAGGTCTGAAAAATGGGGTGTTCAAGTGGCAGTTTTGAATGTACTACGTCGCCGACACAACGAACTGACACTTAGTCGTGCGCGAAGTGATCTCATTTGAGCGCATTCTACAAAACCGAGTCATTTTCATTTATATGAACTGATAAACATCTTAATTCCACTCGTTAAAATACATATTAACAACCCTTTAATTAGACGCCAACGTGGTATTGGCATTTCACATAGAATATTAAAGGTTACTCGACAACTACGTATCTCCCTGTGAAGGAGTGACGCCAGATCAGTGATACTTGGTATACATTTGTCTCATCTCTCGTGTTGATCATCTGACTTGTTTGTTTTCAGTTCACATTGTATTTTGAAGTTGAAATCAGGAAACAGTAAATGCCAGACAGGATTCGTGTTACAACCAATGTCCCCAAATAATTTCACTTCAACGGTAGTTTCAATGCAACAGCTGTCTTTTCTCTCTGACTCCCTCTATAGTGTCAGCATGTCTACTGTTACGTCAACAGGATGACAACCAAACTTATCGTACATTAAAATATACCAGTTCACTAATTAATTCTAATTTATGTGTGTAAGAGGGTAACAAATTCCAACATCATTTTCTCTTGGCTTCTGCACTTCAGAGCTGTGACGTAGGCTGTTTCGGGTTTTCCAAAGACAACAGTAGAAAAAAAGTGCACAAGCGGAGAAAACTAGAAACTGACGTTGAAACTTGTTCTTCCATAAAACTTGTTCTTCCATAAAACTTGTTCTTCCATAAAACTTGTTCTTCCATAAAACTTGTTCTTCCATAAAACTTGTTCTTCCATAAAACTTGTTCTTCCATACGTTCTAAATGGGCTGCTCAGGCTTATTACCTTCAATTTCCATATATGCGTATGAGTACTTAAATTAGAATTACGTGTATCAGTGAACTGATCTGGAGAAGCTCCACTGAAGGTTGCATACGATTCCACTCGCCAACATAGCCCAGGTTTTTCCCAAATGGGTCCCATATAGGTTTACTACCTGTAACGGATAGTACAGTTTTCCCGATATATGCAATGAATATCGGGGGAACTGTATGTATCCGCTGAAGTTGATTTTTACGTCTGTGAAAGTGCAACGCATGAACGCATCAAGTACGCAATTCGCCTAAAAACGTACTCTGCAATTTTCCCAAGTCCGTATGGAACGCATGATTGTTTGAGAGTTGTCCTTGTAGAATATCACGACACAACCAATGCATGTAATTTACCTGTTGTTGTTTATAAATTGTGCCCAGCTTGGAAAATTGCACGTTTTGTGCTGCTGTGGGAGTAATTATCACAAGGCGGGCAGCACATATCCAGTGAAGAGTTCTACATGTTCTCGTTTCTACGTGTATAGGTTGTATATGTGTATTAATTTTTACTGCATGTACCAAATACGTGTTTCGTGATGGTTTAAAAGTTGTAGTTACTGTTTTGGGTCTGTGCATTTCACCGTTGGTTTTTTCATGTATTTGACGTTGTCATGGTAATGACGCCTACCAGCGATTGGTAGATGAAAAGACTCGCTCGTCCGTGAAGTTGTAATTACTTTGCGTAGGAACGAAATATAAATGTTCCATTGATGGCACAAAGCCAACTTGTCACAGCGCCTTTCATACGGGTACAAAAGGCAGTGTGATTACGCGTCCGATTATTCATAGAAAAACACCACCATCCACCCACCCAACCTTAACGGTCCTCTCTCGTAGCTCTCGTTGGAATCATTGGTCTTGGAACTGGACCATTAAACGTACTGAGGAGCCATTTAACGCGCACATTTGTCATGCGAGTGCACAATTGAAGCGTTGTACCGCCGTGAAGTAATGGCTCATTTCTAACCCGGGTCATAGTCGTTTCATATCATGCCAGTTGGTGACTTGAAAAAAGCCTAAGTGCACATTAGCTGCAGTTTCAAATATGGTGTGTGGCACAAGAGATGTAAATGACAGAAGCATATCATTTGAATACAGTGTACATGAGTGCCCTAATTTGAGGTATCGGTATGACGGACAATATAATTTTTTTTGATTGGGGTAGCATTTTATATGTTTACTCCAAATTTGCCCACTTCAAATAGCGCCCTCATTTGGTATCTGTCACGCTCCAATCAGGCTTGTGTTCACAGCCCGTGATAGCTCACAGTTTGTTTTCCCTGCAAGAAATATACAAGTTTCAAATAGCTGCCGCATCCGTTCCAAGTTGTACATAACCTTGGTTTTGTTCGTCGCTTCCCTCATTCTGTAAGATAATTAGGTTAATTTCCTGTCACCAAGACCTTGTAATTATGCAGAGTAGGGTTTTAAACTTTCGAATTGTTGTAGAGAGAGTTGCCATAAATTAAAGAATAAGTTCATTTAAAATTCATATTTTGGTTCATCTGCAGCTTTTACCACCTTTGAGAATTCCAGACTGGTATAAATAAAAAATGAAGATGTACTAGTCTGGAACCAGGAGCTAGCAAATGAGGCAAAATACTGGCGGTGCTGTATTCTGTGTCCTTAAACTGTTTTGGGCCTTTTTGCCTTTTAAAAGTTTTAAGTGCAAATTAATAAATAAAATAAATGCGTTCGCTGTTACTCTACCAGGAAGTAGAACCTTTCGTAATAAACACAGCATACCGATACTGTCAACTTTAATACTGGTTTGGGTTTCACGATGTGATCAACTCGTTTCATATTTTGCATTCGACAGAGGAAATTTCCACTGTGCCAGTTCAATATGTAGCTCTCTGTTTAATGTAACATCCATTTAGGCAACTAAATGAAGGACGCCATTATGCGAGTTAAAAAAAAGCTGACAGTTTGCGTTGACTTCCAAAAATAGTTGGCCAGTTGTTTAAAAGTGGCTGGCGACTTTCAACTCGTCTTCACAGATTGGAACACAAAAAGTGTGGTACCACATAAGGTGTTAGCAGGTTAAAAGTTTCTTCAAGGTATATTCCAATACTCTACATCACTCCAAAGTTGGTGTTCACTGTTTCTACAAGGTAAGTTTTTTTTATATACCAGTCTGAATCAGGTAGAAAATGCTTATATTTTTCGCAGCTGTTTCCGGTAAAAAAGTGGATTGGACAGGGACTTTTTTTGTGAGGCAAGAACATATCAGCAGAGTTGTTTTTTCTGTGAAAAATGGTTGAGTCTATTAGTATACATACTTGTCTCTGACTGCTTCATATTGTTAATATGTATATACATGTATACAGAAAACGGTTACTGTGTAAAGGGCTTTTTCCTCCTTTTCGAAGGGAATAAAATCGTGGCTGTTTTCACAAAGGAACGAGTTTGCGGAAAATTGTGAACTGTTTGAATTACTTTTCGTCATTTTTACGAAATCGAAAAGTGACTAAAGTCTTTCGACATCAGCAAAACGATCAAGATTGGCTCTGTCAAGTGAAAAAGCTTTAACCTTCATATCTATTGTAACTCTTCATTTGTAGGCCGGTCCATACTTGAGGCGAATGTAAAAATCAATTTGGGACAAGTTGAAATGTGTTCAGCTTTTGTGATTACCAGCACGGATCTGGCGTCACAAATTTGCGTTTGTGTTCGCTTTAACGCCAAGTATGAATCATCTAGGGCGTAAAGTCGGTTTTCACAGAGAGGCAAATATGTTACGCAGAAAAATTACATTCAGTTTTGAGCGTACAACTGTATTTCATAAAGTGAAACAAGTACTTTTGTGTTTAATTGCAATTGTACGGGCGTTGTGGATACCATTTATATGAGACGCGTTTAAACCAAGAAAAGTATTGTTGAAAATCAAATCTTGTGATTAGCCTTACATTCCAACTAAAATTTGTACGATTCAATTTTTTTTTCATGCCATGACAGTTTACTTCAACACCTCTGCCAAATGTAGGCCACATTAATTACTTCGCATTTTACCATGCGAATAAAAAAATTAAATAAAACTGACTACTTTAAGTATAACTCTCTTATCGGGAATTAGTGATTAAAAAGACCAAAATTAAAATAACTTTGAGTCCAGTGTTTGGAAAATTGGGACTAGAATTATGGGGACATTTTCTCTTCCTCCAATATATTTTGGACACCAGAAAATTCACCGGATTGATGAGTGTTTGTCCCCACAACTACAGAACACGGAAGTTTGTGCATACACGTGTGTAACACTGCAACCCATCCTGCACAACTGAGACACCAAAAAGGTTTGCAATGAACCTCAACATGAAAGCAATTAATTTGTACTTTTCCTACAATGACTTTCTTCGACAACTTTTCGCAAACCAGGCTAAAGTAGGTCGTGTCAAATACTGAACTATAAATTTTTACTGTTTTTGGAAATTCACAGCTTTCGTGGTCCGTTATGCTGATACAGGACGTTGGCCTTGACTTTCTTTGCAGTAGTGCGTCGTCCACCATCCCATGTGTAATGTCTGTACACTGTATTCGAAACCAGGATATGCAGTGTATTTACCAACTTCTGCTTTTGAAACGTGTGCATATAGTTGCATTGCTCTCGTGCAGAATTATATCATGGAAATCTGAAATCTGGCAAGGCCCATCCCAGTAATATTTTTGCTTATTGGATTTTTTTAACATTCTGAAACAAGGCCATTCCTATAATTTTGTGCAACGGATCTTTAAACATTCTGAAATGGGGAAAATGATCAATAGATTCCTTATTTCACGAGTTTCTCCTTTTTCCCGCTATTATTGATACTATAAGCCTTACAGATTTGATTGTCTAAAAAATACCCAATGCGCATTTGAAAATGTGCAATTTGTGCTATAAAACGCTGTCTATGGCAACCAATGATGTGACCAATACTTGACTGGTCCGACCATCGTCGACTAGCGTGCGTTCAAGCAGTGGAACAATGGTTTCTGAACGAACTGACCCCAATCTGAGAGTGAATCATGGAAAGCGCCCTCAAGAAATTGGGTGAGAAGATAACAGCTGCCGAGACAAAGGGTTAAGCGCCCAAGCATACATTTTCCCATCTCAAAAGTGTCATAAATTTTATGTTCATTACACCACTAATTGTGACCCCAAAATGAAAAGAAATACACGGTAGGGCTGTGTCTTTTAATTTCTTCCTTGAATTGAGACAGTGTTTGCCCGTGGCCCATGCTACATCAAATACAATGTGCGATACCGCATGTACTGTGCGCTATGTACTTGTACATGTACTCTGTACATGTCAGGGTTCTGGCGATGACGTTATGAAATCAGCCTGGGAGTGTAAACAGCCATAAGGGTTTTTTGTCGTTGGTGGTGGGTAAACACATGCAGAATCTTTTTGTTCATTTTGGGGCCATAGTTAATGTTTACTCCTTTAGATTAATGATGTTTTTGAAATGGTTACGTATTTCTATTTTGAAATACTTTATGCCAACTAGAACTAATTGTTTTCAATTTCTGCAACCCTCTAACATTACGTTTGTCGCCCAAACACACCAACGCTAGACTGCCTAGAAACTGCGGCCACAAATGGCACATGCATGCAAAATAAAGTATATAATGTGAAATTGTACAAACCTCATTGATGTCGTCTCTTGTCGTAGACGTTGCTGGACCAACGAAAAAACTAAATGCTACAAGTTTAGCCACCGCATTTTTGGGCCATCAGATTTGTTCAAATGACCCTCACGGTTGAACCATTTATTGCAGATATCGGGTAAACTGTACATATCCCTTCCTTAAGGTGTTAATAACTTAACTAAGAGTGCTTTGCACATGATACAATTCCCACGGGACTCCTCGCTTCCTCGTTTTCACTGGCCTATGCTCGTACTTAATGTAGCTCAGTGGTATCCCGCTTCTCTTTTGTGTGGTCACAATGCCGCTCTTTTGCGAGGGGCGGATGAGTACTATACTAAAACCCAAACCGTCTTGTTTGGGTTGTGCAGGCCAGATTGAGCTGTACCAGCTATATGACAGACGACCGCACTACGTCTTAGAGTATGTTCACCGACTACCGCGCGCTACCCTCGTGGTTGGTTCAGGTGCATTCGATCAGTTTGTACGAATGAGGGCGGTCGGCAATCAGCCGAATAGTGGAGCTACGCAGCAAAACTACAATACATTAAAAACAATAGTCATAGCAATTAAAATAAAACTGCACACATACAAATAAGTTCCCACAGACTAACTTGTGCACATAATAGGCACCGTACAAGTGTCGGCCTTTGCCGAGGACTGGTGATGATCCCAATTTTTGAAACATGAATTGAACCAAGCACAACCAGCGCATTTTCATGCGAGCTGAGCCAGTCCTCTATAAAAACCACCCGAAAATAGTGGAAAACCACTCTTACCAAGTAAAGACCACCCCAAAAGAATGCAATAAAGGAGCCATACAAAGTAGTTTTGGTTTTCATGCTTTCTTACGGGGGCTTCGGTCTTGTTAGAGTAATTGTAATTCTTATTGAGAGGGGGCATACGAGAAACACTCTCTTTGAGGGAGAGATTTTCACTTTTTAGCCCCCCAAAATTAGAGTACTGAAGCGTGACGTCACTTCAAACCAGGCGGTGTAGTTCAAGCTAATACGTGGTTGCGTTTGTTCACGTGCTGGCCTTTTCTCTCATGCCTTGTACGCACAACCATAGTTACGTTTGACGGTTGTTTCTTTTTAAAGAGTACCGAAAAAGCAGTGCAGTAAATGAAGCTCTGCTCCCCGAGTGTTTCAGAAACAATACGTTTTACCACATTGTGACATTATCCTCAACCTATGCTATTGTCAAAACGTTCTCCATGAGTTTTATAATACTTTTTTATAAGCTACCGAATTAACATCCAAAGACGCCTGTGGCTGTGACGCGTCCTCAGAAGAAACATTCCTCCGAAGTAAGTCTTTCTCATTAGATGAACAATTCTATTTTTTTCTAAAACCTCACGACAATTTCAGCGCTAGTGCGCGTGAACGAATAAAAATAATTCAAATTTAAGAAAATAATGCAAAAAAAGCCTCAGATAACACAGATCCTCTGAGGGGAATACAAGTGTGACATCATGATGTTGTTGGTTTGAGTTAAAATAGCCTTAACGTCTGAAGAACTGCATGTGGAAGGTTTGTTGCCCTATTTGTCATGGGTGATACAGACTGAATTGGGCTACATTTTGTGTTACCGAGCCAGAGTCGTTTGACCGTTAATTCTTTTGTTGACATTGAAAGCCACGAGGGAGTGATTTTTAAATGCCCATAACCTTATACAAATAAGTATCTTACACGAAGATATGTGGATAAAGGCGATACCTGTACGACCACTCGAGTCAGTTCAATTTTTTTTTCAATTTAGTCCAGAGACGTAAATTTCATGTTACTTTACAGCCTATATCAATTTCATGCACATTAAATTACTTTAGAAAAAGCTAATGGAATTAGTGCAAATACGCCCATATAATGTAAAAAAGTGTGATGCTTTGCTATAAGAGTACGGTAATGGTAATTTGAACTATGTTAAAAACAATAACACCAAGACATGCCTACTGGGGACGGATCCAATGTATTCCAGGGGGGGATGACATAGAGCAGCAATTTTAAAATGGCACTGTGAGGGCGTAGCACCAAGGCCTTACGGTGTCTGTCTAGGGCCTGCTTAAGGGATCCTAGGATTGAATTGTATTCTGGGCGCTCCGTGATTCAGGCAGTATGGACCCCCTTTTTTCTTCTTTTTTAAATAATTAGTATAAATGTTTTGTGTAAAACGGGCGTGCACCCCCTAGCCCTCCAAATACACCCCGCCTACAGACAGGGCGATGTGAAGGGGAGGGGGGGGATCTATCGATGCCCCTAATAGAGCCAAAGCAGTGACAAGATTAAACCATGTAATAAAACATTGCTAAATTTCATTTTAAGAAAATTCAGTTATATTTGAATACGAGTACAGGCCTTACCCGAAGTGGCAACCAATTCGAAATCCCCTATGAACATCTTCTCGGTGACCTGGCCCTTCATAAAGGCTGTCGACATCATGATTATTAGCAGCCCCATCTAGTTTTTCTTTGAAAAAAAAAGAGACCAC